CCTCATCTTCGACAAAAGAACCAAACACCCTCACTGGAGCAAAGGTAGCCTCTTTAATAAATGGTGCTGGGAAAACTGGGTTTCAACTTGACAAAGATTAAAACTAGACCTCTATCTGTCACCATGTACTAAACAAGAAATGGATTAAAGATATAAATATTAAAACAGAAACACCAAACCAGCTGGAAGAGAAGTTAGGTAGAAGTCTTGAAGACATTGGTGTAGGAAAAGGTTTTATAAACAAAACCTCAGTTGCCCATTGACTAGAACAGTCAACAAGTGGGATCTCTTCTCATTGAAAAGTTTCTGCACATCAAGAGAAACCACCAACAATGTGAAGAGACAACCCACAATGTGGGAAAAACTTTTCACCAGCTTTTCCTCAGACAAAGGTTTACTATGTAGAATATGTAAAGAACTTAAAAATCAGACCTCCCAAATTTAAACACCCAATTCAAAAATGAGCATCTGAAATGAAGAGATATTTCTCATACAAACATATAAAAGCAGCAGATAAATATGTGAAAAAACAGTTCAAAATCACTTCAGTCTAGAAATGCTAATGAATCATCACTGAGATTCCACTTCACCCCAGGAAGAATGGCTGCTGTCATGAAATCAACCAATGACACATGCTGGTGGGGCTGTGTGGAAAAAGGAACCCTCCTCCCCTGCTGGTGGGAGTGTAGACTGGTGCCACCACTGTGGAAATCAGTATGTAGATACCTCGAAGAACTAGGAGTGGAAGTCCCATGTGACCCAGCTATTCCCCTGCTGGATATCTTCCCTGAAGAATTAAAAGGATCATACCATATTGATATATGTGCATTCATATTCATAGCAGCACAGTCTGTAATAGCTAAAACTTGCAAGCAGCCCAATTGCCCATCAACACGAGACTGGATAAATAAAATGTCTTTTTTAAAAAATGGAATACTACTAAGCCATAAAGAATAAGAAAGTGGAGTAATTTATAGCTAAATGGATGCACATTAAAGAGATACTCTTATGTGATACAAATAGGACACACATGTGTGAATACTGAATAGTTTCTCTAGTATGAGAAACTGCAAGTGTAAATAAGGCCGAAAAGGTATAACCAATAATGTGAAAAAGGAAGAAATGGGACACAGAGGAAAGGGAAATGAGAGGGGCAGGGAAAAGGAAAAAACGGAATGGAATTAATAAGAGAAAATGAAAAATAATGGAAACAAAGTTTTTGTAGATAGGGAGAGGCTGAAGGGAGGGCAAGTGAGTGGGGAAAAATGAGAACCAGGATTGATTATGGAAAGGTATACATTTCCAACAATAAATGTCATTATATCATATACATTAAATGTACCAGTCAAATTAATAAAAAAATAAAAATACAGAGATCCTTTTCTTACACTGTGAACTGAGAAATCTTGCAGAGTAAGAAAGTTTTAAAACAAATCTGCATGCATGAAGGGAAAGGAAGAAGTGCAAACAGTGTTCTAAGATTTTTAGAAGGTTTCATCTCAACTCCTGACTTCTAAAAAAACAGGTAGGTCAATTACTGCATTATGATGACACTAACAGATGGTCAACCACAATTTACAGGACCCAGAAACTGCTACTGAAGTGGAATTATCTTATGAATAATTTCTTCATTCAAATAACAGCTTTAATGCAGCTTTAATTTAAACAGAACCAAGTAGTAGTATTTGAAAATGTTTACACATCTTTACCTCAACGATAGGGACATAATACATATTTTCTATCAAGCATTGAAGAAAAAGAGATAGAAATACATGAAATGAATTTTGTATCAACTTTGTAAGGAGTTAATTAAAAAGCTTAGATTGATGGATATTTTAAAGGATTCTGGGAAACTTGCTTCAGTGGAATATTCTGTGCACCAGGTCTAGTGGTGAAGATGAAGTATGAGTTCCCTCATTCTGTGGTTCATAGAGTGAAGATATTAGAGTGTTTCTGGTGTTCTCGAAATGGTCTGAGATTCAGAAGCAAGAAACACTGGTTCTGACACTTAACTTCTACCTCAGCTTGTGATGGACTGTGCATCACATTTTCCCCTGGGTACACTGTGAGGGCAAGCAGCTCTGTGAACCCTCAAGTTCCCTATGGCTGCCTTGTGGTTATTAGCATTATTCCTCCAAGGGTAAACTCTCCAACCTCTGTTTCCACATAGAGTTCTTCCCACCAAGAAAGTCAAAGGCAATGAAGCAATTGTATCACGTTTGCCTTTAATTTGAGTCTGGGAATAGAGATGGCCCCCTGGGCCTCCTCCATGGTTTGAAACAAATTAGAAGCCACACTGATTTCCCAGGAGTTGTGAAGAAATGGATATACATTTATCTCTCTTGTTTTGTCTTGACCTAATAAGTCTTTTGCCTACCTCTATTGAACACTGAATCCCTTACTGACTCTGTTTGTTTCACTGTTTTCCATGTCTTCCAGAGAGAAATGAAGAACTTCCTAATGACTTATATCTGAAGGTATCTGTGCTCATAAACCTAAGGGGCCATGTCAAAGCAAGAGTAGAATTTACATTAAGTAGCATGATTGAGTGTTTGTGTGTGTGTACATGTGTATGTCCCACGTGTGCTACTGATTCCGAAATTCTACCTCATCCTCACAACATATTGTAATAGACAGTTCTATGTAATTTATCTTGAAGTATCTATTTAAATTCTGAGATGATAGGGCACAAACAAACCTCCATGTACAATAATTTATCTCAAATCAATCATATCCTATGTCTAATTTTTGAGATGATAGCAGACAAACATATCTCCTTTGCTTATCATTGGCCCTTATTAAGTCTTGATTTTCTTCCATTTTTTATACCACATCTCTCCAATTTTCTTATCTCTATTGTCACAATCCGTGTGGAAGCAGGTACTATTTTGTAACTCAACTAGTGCAAAAACTCTTATTCAGATTTCTGCTGACATTCTTGTCTTGGCATAATCTTATCTCTCTGCAGTAGACAGGGTAGTATTTAAGAATTTTAGTCACTGCCTTATTTAAACCTTTTCTAGGGATTACTGTTTATTCTGAAGTTAGAATTGAAACTTCCATTATAGCAGAAAAGGCCTTATATAAACTTGATCTTCTACAATTTTCCAGTCCCATATAGTTCCTAGACTATGCCTTGATTTTCTCTGTCTCTCTAATGTGTAACTCTGTTCTTTCCAGGCACTTACCTAGAATGCCCATTTTTATATATTCATATGACAAGCTCCTATATTCCCATGAAAATTATCATAATCTCCTTTTAGAGCATGCATAAACATAGGCTTCCTCTCCACCTGGATTTTTCTAATTTGATGAAGTATCTATCATAATCATTAATGTTCATTCCTTCCAATTCCATTTCTAAACATTATTACTAATATTACTAGGCATAACAAAATATTAGAAATAACCTACATGTCCTACTACCAGTTAATTTTCATTTTGTTGTGATAAACCAGTTGTTACTAATAATGTAATAGGTAACATAATTCACTATATTATGTATATCATGTAGTAATATCACATTAACAGGATGTTTTAACATAGTATGCTAAAGATGTTGGAATTTTAATTTTTCAATTTTCAATTAATTTTAATTTCAATCAGGTTGAGAGAATTGGTACATTAATGTAAACTTTGTTAACTCCAAAAATGAATAAAGATTAAGTAAGACACCTTTTCTGCTCTGAAAGACAAAGGTCTTCAGTTTTATAAGTCTTTATAAAAAAAATGGGCTCTGTTTTTTACTAGAGAAATCATCCTGTTCTCTTTCTCTGTTCTTTTGTGATTGTTCACATAGATATATCTGAGACCACCTGACCTATAGGAGAAAGAGAGAAAGAAAGGCTATTAGTAGTTATAAGAAATGTTAGAAATATGACAAGAAATATATAAGTTAAGAATCATTACAAAAAATAAGAACAAAGATATATCATCTAAGATATAAATCCCCCATGATGAATGTTATCATATTGTATACAGAAAATGTACCAATAAACTTAATGAATTGAAAATATGATTGCATAAAACCTTGAATAGTATCCACGAAAATGGAAAATGTATTATTTGATTATGTCAGAAATACATGTTGTTTGAGATGGAAAGAACTTGCTTGGCAGATCCATGATGTGACTGGAAAAGTCAAATACTGAGCCAGGGATTTGGCTCAGTGGTTCCATCACCTGCCTCACAAGAGCAAGACCCTGAGTTTGATCCTGAGTACTAAAAAAAAGAAGATAAAATTCAAATATTCCCTGGTGTTCAAAGGACTTAAAAAAGCATGCACTGGTTTGACTTCAGAGAATACACAGGAGGGTACTTGAAAGTAAAAGAGATTTTTGTCTCCAAATTCCTTGAAAGCTCCTTCCAAAAGGGAGGTAGAAGATTCAGAATGTTGAGTAGGAAAAGATTTTCATTAAGGAAAATCTAATGAGCACATACAAGGCATGACACTGTTATTTTATGCTATTGATGTAGATCCATGCCCCTGAGGCCCCTCCCTCAACCTACTACTATCCAGACCCTGATAGTTTGGAGGATTCCAAATTTGCTGTTCAATAGCATCCAACTGCATTCTCTCATCTTGATGCAATTGCTAAAAATAAAGTATTAACCAAAGTATGTTTCAAAGGTTATTACAGGCCAAAAACTCATTAGAAATAATCTATTAATTTTTGATTAATTGGTTCCTGATCTGGCCTTGCACCTAAATCCCTTACCTCAGATTTCTATCATAGACTCCTAGACTTCTCAAGTTGGAACCTGGTCTGAACTAATTATCATTCAGATGTTCCATGGTTTTCCCAAAATATTTTAGCTGTTTGCCAGATGGATGAATGGTAGTCTTTCTCCAGATCATTTTAAACCAATTGCTAAAAATCTTGTGATATTTAGACTGCTAGTTGAAAATCATGCATTTTATTATGTAATTGTCACAATGACTTCTCATTTTCTCATTTGTCCACCCCTCTTGTTTCTCCAGCAAAACAGTAGAAAAGAGCATGAGGAGGGGTAATCAGAGCAGCGCATCTGAATTCATCCTCTTGGGGCTCCCTATCAGGAAGGAGGAGCAAGGCATGTACTATGCCCTGTTGCTGGTTCTGTACCTGACCACAGTGCTGGGGAACCTGCTCATCATCCTGCTCATCAGGCTGGACTCCCGCCTCCACACCCCCATGTACTTCTTCCTAAGCCACCTGGCTCTCACTGATGTCTCTTTCTCATCCGTCACAGCTCCAAAGATGCTCATGAACATGCTGACACAGAGTCAATTCATCTCTTATGCTGGGTGCATTTCTCAGGTATATTTTTTCTTATTTTTTGCAGATCTTGACAGTTTTCTTCTCACTTCAATGGCCTATGACAGATACGTGGCCATATGTCATCACCTGCACTACACCAGAATCATGAGTCAAGGACTTTGTTTCCTGCTAGTAATTGTATCCTGGGTCTTGTCCTGTGCTGGTTCCCTTGTACACACTCTCCTCCTAGCCCGTCTCTCTTTCTCTGGAGAAAACACGCTCCACCACTTTTTCTGTGACCTCTCTGCCTTACTTAAGCTGTCCAGTTCAGATACCACCATCAATGACCTGGTTATTCTCATTGTAGGATCAATGGTTATTACACTACCATTTATATGCACTCTGGTGTCTTATAGCCGTATTGTGCCCACCATCCTGAGATCACCCTCTATCAAGGGAATCTTCAAAGCTTTCTCCACATGTGGCTCCCACCTGTCTGTTGTTTCTCTATACTATGGAGCAATTATTGGACTCTATTTCCTTCCCTCTTCCAATAACACTAATGACAAGGATGTCATAGTGGCAGTGTTGTACACTCTGATCACACCCATGCTAAATCCCTTTATCTACAGTTTGAGGAATCGGGATATGAAAGGAGCTCTGAAAAATCTACTGAGTAGAAGAATATTTTCAGTGTGAGAGCATTGTCCTGAATGTTAAATTGACATGAAACTCTCTAAGTCATGCACAAGCCTTCTCCACCAGGAAAATGAAACCTAAATCCTGTCCTCTCTGAATTACTGCTTCTTAGTGAATTTTGATTAACATTCATTTTCCAGCATGTGTTTCAACTTAGATGTAGTTTTTGTCTATGTTCAGTTTTTGTGTTTTTCTTGAGGGACTTCAGAATAGTTTTTACAAGCACCTGCATAATTTCCCTTCTTGAATACTATCATTGTCATGCAATTAGAGTTTTTCTTCAGTCATAGCTTTTAGCCATTTTAATTTTTCCTCAGGATAATTTACTGCCCTTTTTAGCAAGCTTTTTTCCCTCAAGTTACCAAAATGTGGTCATAAATTTATTTGTACATTTTAATCCGTGACTGTTTTAATATTCATTTTTTTACCTCAGTAGCACAGGAACTATCACAAAGAATCAACATCTGTGATCTCATCTTATTAAAAAGCTTCTGCACTGCCAGAGAAATCACTGACAGAGCTGAGACAACTTACAAAGTAGGAAAATTTTTTATCAGCTGTTTCTCAAACAAAGGACTTCTGTCTACAACTTATAAAGAACTTTAAAAAACACTAAAAATACAAATACCCAATTCAAAAATGGGCATCTAAAATAAACAGACATTTCTCAGACAAACAAGTAAAAGCAGCAAATAAACATATGAAAATTTTTTCAATATCACTGGTCATTCTAGAGATGCAGATGAAAACAATACTGAGAGTCCACCTCACCCCAGAAAGAATGACTGCTATCAAGAAATCAAGCAATTACAAATATTGCCAGGGTTGTGGGGAGAAAGGAACCCTTCTCAATTGTTGGTGGGAGTGCAGACTAGTGCAACTACTGTGGAAATCAATATGGAGATACCTCAAAGAGCTAGGACTAGAGGTATCACTTGACCCAGCCATCCCTCTGCTGGGTATCTTTCCAAAAGAATTAAAATAATCATACTAGAGTTATATATGTGCACCCAAGTTCATAGTAACACAGTTAGTAGTAGATAAAGGTTGGAAACAACCCATGTACCCAGCAACAGGAGAATAGATAAAGAAGGTTTTTAAATGGAGTACTACTCAGCCATAAAGAATGAGAAACTAGAGACATTTATAGCTAAGTGGATGCATATTGAGGCCACACTCTTAAGTGAAATAAATATGATGGACATGTAAATAATGAATAGTTTCTCTGGTATAAGAAACTGAAACTGTAAATAAGATTTAAAATGAATAACTGATAATGTGAAATAAGAAGAAAAGGTCTAAATGTGTAGGGGAAGTGGGAAGAAAAGGGGAAAGGGAAGAAGGGAAAGGAAAAGATATGAGAAAAGGAAAACATGGAAACAAACTCCTTGTAAATAGGGAGGCTGGATGGGTTGAAGAGAATACAGGGTCATGGAGAAAAATATTTATTTTTTGTAATTAACTGCAAGGAGCAATTCAGTTGTGATTGTGTATATATATATAATATAATAAATATATATATATATTTGTATATATAAAATATAATATATATAATCATAAAATATTACATTTTTATAAGATAGCATATGATGTTTCCACACATTTGATGTGTAATAGTCGCATCAAAGTCAAACTTTAGCTGGCCACTGTTGAATATGCATGTAATACCTATGATCTAGGAGGCAACAAAATTTTTAGTTCAGACCGAGCCAGGGTAATTTAGCAAGTCATTGATATTCTATTTCCAAATAAAAACTTTTAAAAGGGATAAAGATGTAGCTTGATGTGAGGCCCCTGATTTCAACATGCAGTACTGAAAAAAATACATTTTTCAGGAAACATTTCTCACACTTTTTTGTACTGAAAGCACTCAAAATCCTTTCTTGTAATATTTTTAAATATATAGTATTTTATCATTATCTATAGTGACTCTACTGTGAAATAGAGCTTCAGACCTACTTCTGCTATCTAATTATAACTTACTGCTTATCTCCCAGCCTTTACCCATTCCTCTACCCACTCCACTCCTTTTTGATTGTTTGTAATTTCTTATACATTGTCCACATTTTTTAGATGTGTTAGAATGATGGTAACTAGGCACACAACTCCTTTTTTCCCAAGTGTGGTGGCTTAATCACAAATTGAAATAAGACTTTTTTTTGTCAAAGGCCAGGACAATGGTCTAGTTAGAATGGGTATAGTACTAAGAAGCCAGTCAGAAAAGGCAGCACACTATGTGGTTCCAAATGTATGACATTCTAAGAAAGGCTAATCAATAGAGACCATAAAACAATCAATGGTTGTGAAAAGTCTTGTGTTTGGGAGGAAGAGGGATGAAGAATAGGTGGAGGAATGGTGACTTTTAGAACAGAAAATGTATTATGCATGATAATGTAACAGTACACACATTTCATTGTTTGTCAAAGCCAAGGGGAAAATAAAACAATTTTGTAAAATCTGTAGAGCATAATATATGAACACCAACACAAAGGTTGAAATTTAGTCAGTGATATTGTATCAATGTTAGTTTGAGTATATAATAAATGTAGTACACCATGAAATATGTTAATACATGAAACTGTGGGCAGGGGTGTAGGAAATGAATTGTATGAACATTATCTGCTTAGTTTTTTTACATAAACAGTTCTAAAAATAATCAATCAATTTTTTAAAGCTAAATTAATTTTAACTTCTCTCCTCACACTATGAGAAGTCATGATTTACCTCTAACATACTCTTGGTATTTTTTCCATTAAGTTTACTGGTACATTGTAGGTATATAATACAATTATAAACATTACTGGGATCTTGTACCTTTACATGACATATCTTGGTTTTTATTTTTTCCCATACACCATCCCTCCCTTCACCCCCTCCATCCTTCCCTATTTACAATGACATGTTTCCATTTTATTCTTTTTATTGTATGTGTTCTTTTCCCTTCTTACCTTTCACCTACCCCTCCCACTTCCTCTACTACTTTAGACATTTTCTTCCTATTACACAATATCAGTGATACATTTTAACCCTTATTTACATTTTTTATTTTTTCATAACAGAGAAACTATTTGGTATTTACACATATGTGTCCTATAAATTGCACTTAAGAATATGGCCTCAATGTGCATCAACTGAAATATCTCTAGTTTCTCATTCTTTATGGCTGAGTATTACTCCATTTCATCTTTAAAAAACACATCTTTTTTATAGTCTCCAGTTGATGGGTAATTGGGCTGTCTCTAAGTTTCAACTATTACAAGCTGTTCTGCTATAAACATGAGTGAGCATATATCACTGGGTTTGATTATTTTAATTCTTTTAGAAAGATAACTAGCAGAGGATAGCTGGGTCAAATGAGGCCTCTAATCCTAGTGTTTTGAGGTATCTCCATATAGATTTCCACAGTTGTTGCACAAGCCTGCACTCCCAACAACAATGAAGAAGTGTTCCTTTCTCCCCACAACCCTGTCAGAATTTTTTATTGGTTGATTTCTTAATAGCAGTCATTCTTCATAGAGTGAGGTGCAATCTCAGTGTTGCTTTCATTTGCATTTTGTGAATGACCAGTGATGTTGAGCATTTTTTTCATATGTTGATTTGCTGCTGTCCATTATCACCACTCCTGTTCAATATAGTTTTGGAATCATTAGCCATAGCAATTAGACAAGTAAAGGAAATAAAAGCAACAAACATATGAAAGGAAGAAGTTAAACTGTCATTATTTGCATATGATGTGATACTCTACACAGATCCAAAAAACTCTGCCAAAACACATCTAGACTTGATTGACAGATTCAGTAGACTAGCTGTATACAAGGTAAACACCCCAAAATCAATTATCTTCTTATGCACAAATAACAGACTCCCTGAGAGTGAAATTAGGAAAACAATCTCTTTCAGAATAGCATTCAAAAAATGAAATGTCTACGAATCAAACTAAGAAAGGAAGCAAAAGACCTCTACATTGAGAACTACAACCCCATGAAAAAAGAGACTGAAGAGAATGCAAGAAAAAGGAAAGACACCCCTTGTTCCTGGGTAGGAAGAACCAACACAGTCAAAATGGCCATGCTACCAAAACTGCTATAGAGAGTCAATGCAATCCCAATTGAAATCCCAAGAGTATATTTCTCAGAACTTGAGAAAACAATCCAAAAATTCATTTGGAACAGGGGGAGACCTAAAATAGTAAAAGCAATTCTAGACAACAGAGATATAGAGGGGCGTATCACAATCCCTAACTTGAAACTATACTACAAAGCCACTGTCATAAAAACAGCATGTTACTATAAAAACAACAAAGCCATGATCAGTGGAATAGACTGGAAGATACAGAAACAACTCCAGATGTACTCAGCTACCCCATCCTTGACAAAGGAGCCAACCATCCTCACTAGAGGATAGATAACTGCTTTAATAAGTGGTGTCAGTAAAACTGGGTTTCAACTTGTTGAAGATTAAAACTAGACCCCTATCTTTCACCTTGCACTAAACTAAAATCCAAGTTGATTAAAGATATAAAAAAGCAGAAACAATAAACCTGCTGGAATATAA